TATAATATTATATAATAAAATATTATATATATATAATTGTATTTGTCTCGACTCTTTTTGTAAATGTTAATTAATCGTTCGATCAAAAAATCTTTTTGTTAATTGAAAATAATAATATACTTACGTGTTTTTACTCGAATGAATAATCTGAAATATATTTCATCCTCATATACGTTGAACGCATTATTTCATCACATCATATTCAATTATTATTAATTATTATCAAATAATAAAAGGGGTGTTCGATGTAGAAACTAAAAAGAGTCGAGTCGTTGTTGTTATTGTTGTTGTTGTTGTTGTTGTTGTCCTGTTATATCGAGAGAGAAAAAAAAAACAAAAAAAAACAAAAATCAATATTTTCTAAAAGAAAATTCGAATGAGAGATATTACAAATGTTTGGTTTTTTTTTTAGATTAGAAATTAGATAACACGTTTTTAATTAAGATGATAGATTAATAAATGTGCCTCTCTCTCTCTCTTTCTCTCTTTCTCTCTCTCTCTTTCATGTTGAAATGATTCCAAATACAACAAAAAAAAAAAATAAAAGAAAAGAAAAGATTTTAAATTCGTGCCTGTAATAAGAAAAACAATCAGGGTATAACTGTGAGTGATATATATATATATATAAACGAAATAATAATTATTATTATTATATACCTATTACGTATTATGTATAATATATATATGCATATTTAAAGCGTCGTTATTTCGTCTTATCGTCGTATTTTCCACGTGAAATGATCGTTTAATTTTTAACGAATGAAACACCTTCGAATATTTATACACATACATACATACACACAGGACAGAGTAATTCTAGATGTAAAAATAAATTGGAAAGAATAAGTAAATAAACAATTGTTCGTTCGACGTAATTACTCATTTGTTTTTTTTCTCGAGAAAATTATCTATTAAACAATTCGCAATCATTCAAATAATTACATACACATATTTTGTCTTGTGTTCAAAATAAAAATGAAATAGGGAATAGTATATCTTAATACCGAGCCAAGATTATTATTAATAAATAATAGAATATTTTAACAATCACGAGACGTAATTATAACGTACAAAAAAGAAATAATTTACAAAAAAATAAATTATTCCACGTTCTCGCAATTATATACATAAGAGAACAATACTAACAATAAGTTTAATGTCCAAATCAAAGAAATGTTCTGACGAAACTTTTTCTCTTTGCGATTGTTCTATACAATAAATTTAAATATTATAAAATATAATGAAAATATATATATATATATATATATATTAGTAAAATTTATAATTGTGCACTAGTTTTCAAATACGTCACGCGCACACACGATAATATGTATAAAAAATAAAAGTGTCATTAAAAATTAACACATAAATAAATAACTAAATAAATAAATAAATAAATGAAACAATTTTTGTGTGTGTGAAACAATTAAGAAAATTTCTTCTTTCCCTCTTCTCACATTTTCCAATATTTTTATAATCACGTATCATTTTGTTCATATTATTCGTTTAATAATAAAACACTTAAATATGTATACGTTCATTGATATAAATTATATAATAATAATAAACCAGTCGAGAGAGTAAAAAACGAAAAATATTTCATATTCTCATTTCATAGATACAAAATGAAAAAAAACTTTTCAATCAAACTCAAATATTTAGAAAAGATATTCATACAATTAAATTGAACAATTCACTTTCTTTCGACGTGTCGAAAATCCTGACGAAAATTACCGGTAGAATCTTTGGCGAACGTGACCTTGACCCTTTTACGCACTTGAACAACAGGATGATGATGATGATGATGATGATGATGATGTTCACAATTAATCGACGATGATCTACACTCTCTACTTATACCAGATTGTTCATCATCTTGTCTCTCAACTTTGAGTAATCTTTTTTGACCAACATTACAACTATTCCCATTGGTTACAATAGAATTATTTGTAGAACAAACATTGTAATTGATTTGTTGAGATTTAGGAAAATTTTTGTTGACCCTGTTGGAAAGGTTCGATGAAGATGACGAAGGTGGTGAAGATGACGATGAAGATGACGATGATGAAGATGAAGATGAAGATGACGATGAAGATGAAGATGAAGATGATGATGAAGATGAACAAGTTAAAGATGAACGAATCATATTAGTAGTACCCAAAGTATTACTACCAAGATGGTGGCCTTGAGAAATAACATTAGTTGACTCAACGTGCTTATTATCAATCGAAGAACCCGACAATTCGTTCAACGATACAGCTGGTACAATCATTAACAAGTTATTTCCATTCTTATCACAGGCGCCATGATGACTGACAGGATGTTGTTGTCTCTGTTGTTGTTGTTGCTGTTGTTGTTGGCTGAGATAATGTACTCTGTATTGCAGTGTATTCTCGTTGATCTGTTGTTTCTCTTGTTTCGTTAAATTATTCGAACACTTTGTCTGATAAGAATTAGATTTTGAAATACCATTATGATTGTTATTATTATTATTGTTATTGTTGTTGTTGTTATTGTTGTTGTTGTTGTTAAAGTGTCCCTCGCATTTAATTCTGATGCCATCCTGCGTATGCAACATTCCGTTTCGATCCTGAGCGTTTTGCCATTCGAGAACGTTGCTTAACAATCTTATGTATCTGTAAAATAATATGTTAATTAAATGAAAATGTATATTACATCTATATAAATATTTTTTATTTAATTTATTGTATAATCACATCGGATAATCATATTATCAAAAGGTGTATGATATTATTTATTAATTCATTGTTAATGAATAACACTGAACACAATTAAATAACAAATGTAATTCTTATATTTCTTTGTATATGCTTGTTTGAAATGATATATTTTTTGTACTAACCGTATAGCCATCCTTAAAATTTCATTTTTAGATAACTTTTTATCAGGCGGGTGGGTAGGAACGAGCTTTCGAAGTTCGGCAAAAGCTCCGCTTACGTTCTGTTGTCTCCATCGTTCACGACTGTTGGTAAATAATTTTCTAACGCCCACGTTTCCTATTCTAAGTGTGGGCGAGCCTAATTGACCATTACCAGAAGATGGAATGCCGTCTAGCTATGAAATTATTGGCCAATTATATAATACAATTTTATAACAATAAATGATTTTTCTATTTGTATGTATGTGTATATATGTAATAAAATAAAATAAAAAAAACCAAAAAAAAATTAATATAAATTAAAACAATACGAAAAACACCGAAATTTCAAATCCTACGATTAAAGAAACGTGAGAGTAAATTAAATAAATAAAATATCACAATATTACAAAATATTATCACAATAAATAATTATGATATATTTTTGAAACGAAGGAATAAAAAATAAATCAATAAAATTTGATATTAAAATAATTACGATATTGTTTTCATACTGAAATTCTATGAGATTGGGAAAAAAAAAAATAAATCAATAAAATTTGACAAAAAAAAGAAAGATAAAACTAAATATTAAAAAATAATGAAATGAATGTTTTATCTATGTTTCTCACGGAATTAGCTCGATCCCTGCGACGTCTTCCCTGTTGTTCTTCATCTTCGTCGGTGTCGTGGGAATAAAATTCATCAGAAAGGGTTGCTTCTTCCTCGGTATCCCTTGGTGTACCCGGCGAATCCCCCGGCTCTTCGACAAGTTCTCCTTCGCCTGATAAAAATGATTCAGCAGGAGAACCATTGTCAGTTTCCGTTGTTCCACCGTTACAACCGTTGTACGTTAACATCGGCTGAAAATGAACAATACCTTTTATTATTCGTCTCATTGTTTCACAAGATAATTATCATCATCATCTATGTTTCAATTAAATTTTTTCATTCAATTTTCATTCAATTTTTTAATGAAACATTACGATTAATATTATTTCTTTTTGTTCATATTAGTTTCCTTACAAAGATCTATAATTGTTCGATTAATTTTCAATAACGTCATTTAAACACATACGCGAGTATTTTTTTTTAATTAATAATTAATTTATTAACACAAAGAGAGAGAGAGAGAGAGAGAGAGATAAATATTTGATGAGATATGAAATTTTAAATAATTTTAAATAATTAAATAATTTAAATATTAATTAAAATAAAATAAATTAAAAAATTAATAATAATTTCCTGATCTAAATTTAATTTAAATAATTTTCCTGATCTAATATTAATATTGTATAAAATAGCAAAAATTAGGTCGTACAAAATTAATTTCTCTTCTCTGTGTGTGTATGTGTGTTGTTAATTAAAACATTGATAAATAAATGTAATAGTAACGTTAATTGCTATTAAAACGTCACTACTTTGACACGATCACCCACCCACACGAATATTTCGAACGATAAGATTAGAAAATGAACGAGAATAATTAAAATTGAATAAACTTATAATACTATTAAAATATATATACCAAAAAAATAATACACACACACACCTATACGTATACATACTTATTTTCGATTAAACAAATCATCTCTCATGTTTGTTAAAACATATTAAATCAAAAAGAAATAATATCTTACCATATCTCTCGAATTAATAAAATCCTTATGGTTAAAAAAAAAAAACAAGAAAGAAAAGAAAAGAAAAAATTAACAATAATATTTCCAACGAACACACAATAATAACTTCACCACACAGACACACCAATCCAAAATATATTTCATTAATTATTTTATTATCAGACCCCCCACTGTTTAATTTATATCATCAAAATCACTATAGTTATTCGATCCGAATAGGTGAAACGAAACGATTAGACTAATAGAAAGTGTGTGACGATGCTATGGTGTTACAGAGCAACCTCAGACCCTTTTGGTAAAATGAAATTTTGCGTGGAAGGGCGGAGTTCTCTCTTTATCTCTCTCTCTCTCTCTCTCTCACACACACACATATATATATATATATATATTCACTCACACACAAACATAGTATCTTTCTCTATTTGTCTGTAAAATGATGGGCATGGGTGGAGCTCGTGTTTGGACCAGCCCATATCGTTCGCACACGCGTCCAACCAGCCTCCCACTTTCGGTCCACCACCGGATCTCGTTTTAAACGGTACTGCTGGTGATGGTGATGGTGATGGTGCTGGTGCTGAGAAAAGAGAATCCGCGAAAGGGAACATGTGACGTGATAAGAGAGACATTTCTCTGTCTCTTTCTTTCTCTCTCTCCTAGAAGCTTTTCTCTCTCGTCCAATCAAATTGGACACAGTTATACGTTTTGCTTGGTTTATTATTAAATCATTTTTGTACTTTTTTCTTTTTTTGATAATTGTCACAACGTTTCATTAACCCCCGTGTTCTTTTTATTCTTATTCTTCTTTTTTTTATATATATACATATTTTTTTTTTTAATTGAACAACGAAAAGTAATAATAATAATAGGTATGTAATGTTTAATACAATTTGATGTAGTTTAAAATAATCCTAAATATTAATGGATTGCATTAAAGTATTAAATAGAATTGTTAATTAATTGAAAGAGATGTATATTATTTTCTAAAAGCAAGAAATATGAATTGTAATGTTTAATACAATGTGATGTAGTTTGAAATAATCCTAAATATTAAT